GACCTGGATGCTTCCTGTCTGGTACAAGGTGCCAAAAAGCAGCATGTAAATGGGTGGAGTTGGAGACTATTTAAGGCCTGATCACCCCCTCACCCCCTTTGGGTCTTCACAGTGTGGCCCACCCCCCTGTCCTCAGCTCAATGTGAGATTTGTCTGGTTGCTTTAGGACCAGGTAGGAATTTTCTCACCCTTTTCCTGTTTTTTTGTTTGCTTGTCTACTCCATAGGCTGTCTGTGAGACTTGGACAACCGGCTTCATGGTGGTGTCATTAATTAGGTTTTCACCTGGCAGATAATGAGGAGAGAATATGTCTTTGGTGACCACTTTTGGCATCCTTTTGGTGTAGGCAGGACTTTGAAACCTCATCTTGTAAATTTTTGAGGCCTGGGAGGTTAACCTGAAATCCAGGTTCTCACTTGTAGAGCCATAGGACTTGAGTGGGAGTCCCCTGGGTTACTTTCCCACTATGGCCAGTTAGAGAGCAACCCATGTATTTTGATTGTTCTTGGAGCAGAGGTATTTTGCCCAAGGGAAGGCAGAAGAAGCTGTCAGGGGGATAACACCTGGCCTCAGCTGGACCCATGTCAGGTTGCTCCCCCTTTTGCTTCATTTCCAGACCAACACATTTAAAATAGGTTAGGTGACCATTGTTTAACTCAATTTTCTGGGTCTGGTTTCATTATTCCATGGTCGATTATCAAATGGTTGTGCGGGGCAAAGTAGGAGACAGAGTGGTCTGCCCTTGTGTGGAGGAAGAGGGGGAAAATATCTATTAATCTTCTTCCAGATCCGCCTAGGATCTTGGCCATTCATGCTTATTATGGGTAAGAGTTATGCCTGCACCAGGTCACAAGGGAAGCTTTCTGGCTGAGCAAACATTCAAACTGTAACACACAGGTCAACACTTTAGCCACAGTACCATCCTGACCCTCTAAAACACCACTTTTCCCATTCAAGAGTCAGCAAACAATTCCATCCTTCCTGTCACTATGAGTACTTGCATGTGGGATTGGCAGGCGGGTGGGGAGGATGAACACAAAACCTATTAAGGCAACATGGACCTCAACCACTGGGAAAAGTGATGGGGGAAAACCAATTGTAATAACCTGTAACTATTGTCTTATTCTTTTGACCTTAAAGGTTCATAGCCATTTCTCTGTGCAGCACAAAATAACCTGAAACATTCCATCTTTCTATGACATGATGAATGAGCTTCGATTAAGAGCAGCTAAAAGAAGAAAAAGCCACTAATGTATTTTATACAGTCACTGATCAGTTCCTGACATGTAATATTTCATTTGTTTGAAGACATTAAGAGATGTTGTGTACCTAGAAACAACAGCTTGCACGATGGTACATCTATCATTACATGTGTCATAAAAACAAGAACGTATAAATTTGTTTCTGCCTGTTAAAGTCTAATTACCTGTAAAATCATTACTTGGCACTTCAGCAAATTGACACAATCAAGTTAATGATCTGCAACATACTAAAACCCTCACCACGTGTCCCCCTGTTTGCTTGCATGCCCCCAACACCGAAATATGTTTTTTGGCATAGATGCTGCCATATGCATCAAGTGTCAATTCTCAATGTATTAGCAAAGACCAAAACACCTGAGCCAACTGGCTGCATCTCCAGTGGAAAGAAAAGCAAGATGTTTGAGCAAGGAAGTAGCAAATGTCTGTCTCATTTGATTCAATTGGGCTTCCCTGGATGGCTCACTTTTATCACAGTGTTGGTAGCAGGGTCAGCATGGACATAGAAAATGCCATTTGAGTGGAAAGGGGGCAAGACTCTTTCTCATAAGAGACTGGTGATAGCAGGACGGTGAGAAGGATTTTTACTGTTGGATTTTCGGAAAGGGAATCATATTGTTATTGTTGCTGTTGCTGTTGTTGTTTGCCTTCAAGTTGTTTCCAACTTATGATGATCCTAAGGCAAACATATCAAGGTTTTTTTTTTTTTTTT